GACAATACATGCCATCTCGTTTGTGTGAAAATATATACTAGTATATATATATGTGACGTGGTCCACACAGTGTGGTGATGACGATGTCACAGACCCGACTAATACCCCATAGAACCAATATATATATATATATATATATATATTGCATACCGTTTGCATACACAAGATGGCGGCCAAGGCGCGGCGGTGCTGCCGTTGGGCTAGACATCGGCGCCACAGGCTTTGAATCAGCACGACAAACTCGCCATATCGTTTCGCCAGCTGCGCTTCCACATACTGAATCGCCGTTCGTCGGAAAAATACCTTGGTCTCGCCCACTTGCAGAGACGATGACGAAGACGACGCTGTGCTCGATGGTTTGGCATGCGGAAGTCCCGCGGACGGATCACCGTCGTGGCCATCCAGCCGGAGCGTCTGCACCAACAGCGCGGCGAGGGTCGCGGCGGCGGCTCGGCGTTCGGGGGGCGTCGACGCCAGTTCATCTCCGCACGTGTCCGGAATGTGCTTGAGCATCCCCCCCGGGGTGAGCGGTCGATATCGCTTGACAAACTGGGCGTGGGTGATCCGGACGGGGAACCCCGCGCGGTTGACGCGCACTGCTTCGAGGACGCCGCCGGCCTCGAGCTGGTCGCAGATGCGGCGGAAGTCAAACACAGTGGGTTTATTCTTATCGTTCGGTTTCAGACATCGCACGTATGCGCACTGGGTGTGCTGGACCGTGTCCATGAGCTGTTTGAGCTGCCGTCGGAACGTGCTGCCGACGCTGGCGGATGCTTTCGAGATGGCCATCGACGACGGCGATGGCTTCAAGATGCCGCCCCGCGTCGACCTAGCCGCGCTGGGCGAATCGGCTTTGCTGCTGCTTATAGTTCGCAGAAACCCAAAAGATGAGTGGCGCACCAAGGCGGCGATTTCCGCATGCAGCGTATCCTTGTTCTTATCACAGAAGCCGAATGTGTGATACGAGACCCATCCTGCGTAGTGGTGGATGGCAAACATGTGGTTGGCGCGATCGGCATGGCTCGCCCGAAAGAAGCTCGACGGACACGCCAGATCTAGGGTCTTGGTGGTGTGCCGTTTGGTGGCTTTTCGGGCAAAGTTTTCGTCGCTGCCTTGGGGCACGATGCATTCTTCGTCTAGCATGTGGAACAACCCCATGGGTTTCTTCTCGAGCAAGTCCAGGCACGGCTGGTTATCGGGGAAGTTGATAAAGCTCCACTGAATGCGCTCCCGTTCATATGTGACTTGCTCTTGGCGAAGCACAGTTGCATTGAAGTGATGCTGCAGGGTTTCATTCGCATAGTTGATACACAGCTGCTCAAACGAGTTGGTTGACAGGTCTTCGAACCCAAAGATGTCGAGCACGCCAATAAACCCCGCGAGGTCGCCGTCGCCGTCGTGGTCGATCGTACTGTTGATGCGACCCACGAGGTACTCAAATAGCTTCCCATATACGTACCTTGCCAGCGCATCTCGGTGTTGCTCTGCTACTTCGGGAAGAAGACCCAGCGTATACCATTCATCCCGCGCTTGGATTTTCCGCGTGGTGAGGGCCACCTCGAGCGCATGCCGGTCCACGCCAAAGAAGGCGGTTACATGGAGCTCCGCGGCGGCGCTCGTCGGGTCACTCGACGCCAGCATGGACCCCTCTTCATGGTGTACGTTGTGGGGGGGGGCGTGGAATCTGAGGTTGCCAACATGGAGGACGTTTGCCAGCGTGTACAAGACGTTGTGCTGGTCTTGGTCGTCAAACTGCATCGTGTCGAATGCTTCGCGTAGGCATTCAAATTGGTCCTTATCGCTCACGCCGTCCTTGCGCACGACGCAGTCGCTTTGGTTGAGGTAGTAAAAGTACGCGGGGGGGTACGTTAAGCCCCATTTTGTTTTCCGATCGTCATCCAGCCCCGCCAAGAGTTCGTAGAATACGTGGTAGTTGCGCTCCTTTGGGGCTTGGCTGGTCACTCGAACTGTTTCAAGGAGATATGTCTGGATGCCGGCGCCGATAAGCAGCCCCCGATGGCTACTGAACTGCATCTGGATGAACTTGCCGAACCGACTCGAGTTGTCATTGCGGATCGTCCGCGCGTTCCCAAATGCTTCCAAGATCGGAGATGACGACAGCACCTGGGACATGACGTCGCTCTGGTTGATGTTGATATTGCACATGCTTTGGCTTTGGGACACGGCCGCGAGGTACTTCATGATGAACTTGGTGGTCTCGGTCTTGCCTGCGCCAGACTCGCCGCTCACGAGGATGCTCTGGTTCTGCGGTCGGCCCGTGAGCGGTGCCGTGAGCGATCGGAAGGCGGTGTCCGCGACCCCAAATACATGCGGCGGCACCGTCGATTCCTCGTCCCCCAACGCTTGGAGCATGCCATGACGGATGTACGTGCGAATCAACTTGTCGCTGTAGATGCCGAGATCTTGGAACGGATTCACGGCCAAGAGAATCTCGCCTAAACTCATCCATGGGAATGTACGAACGTGGATGGATGACAATTCTATGAGACATACCCGTGAGGGTGTAGATTTCGTTTTGCTTGAATCGTTCGTTCAGGGTGTGGCAGATGCCAGGTTCGTGCAAGTTGGGCAGGCGAATCAAGTCGTCCACCAAGTCCTAGTTGTGCATCATGCCCATGCAACTGAAGTGTATGGATGATGTACCATGTCGGCACTGTTGGCGAGCTTGACCGTGTCGTCTGTGCCATCTTCAACTTTGGCGACATCGACTTGGCGGGATTCGACGCCACCGCGCGCATACTCGTAGGTGATGTCGACATGCGCCCCGTCGCCGGCATCGTCCTTCTTCACATGGCGGATCGAAGCTTGGATCCACTCGTCCTTGCTCTTGACCCAGATGCCGACGCCAACCTCCATCGCACAGTGCTGACAACACACGAGGTGCATATACTCGTGCCCGATTTGATTGGGTCGTATGACGGATTGTCGAAAACGAGCCAATCAGAATGCGATACACCTGGCCTCTCACCCAATTTTTATAAATCGGTTTCAAGTCGCATACAAAGAACGTGTTTGTAATTTATTTTATTATGGGGGCACCGTTTCACATGAAATTTCAAGTACTCGATGGGTATTACGCACACAACTTGCAACGCTCTGGACCTGTAGACACTGAAGAACGCTATCGCTCAATTGGGTGGTCCGCAGCCTCTGTCGTCATGGGGATACTGCGATACTGTATACCTTTACCACCCCACCACCAGGTTTTGCTTTTCTCGACTTTGCACTAAGCAGCGCGATCAAACTTTACCGAAGAATCATGAAAACGGTTTCTCATTGGTCGACAATATGACCTTTTATGGAAACGGCAAGTTCAAACAAACTGTCTATATTTAATACTAGTACCGTGGAATATCAAATCATAGAGTTGTCACAGATTGGGGTCGCTTTGCATTAAGATATTCCATTTGAAAGCAGCCGATGCGACTCTACTTTGTCGTGATGATGATGGCGGCGGCGGCCGCGGTGGGACTTGCATCCGTGGAGGGATCGTTAGTGCATGACCGTAATGTGGGAGGTTTCCGACAAGTGGACCCTGATGACGACAACAAGGGCGACTTCTTCACCGCCACGTCGGACAAGGCGCACTATTCGAGCTCCAACGACCCGTTTGTGTGCGTGACGTCCTTTGACAAGGTGCTCCAGCAAGTGGTGTCGGGCATAAACTACCAATTCCACGTGCACGGATGCGCTGTGGATGCTCCATCCAAGGCCAAGGCGGACTGTACCTGCGGAGATCGACCCATCCAAAAGTTCGTCATCGAAGTGTACGCACAAGCGTGGACCCAGACGTACAAGGTGACCAAGGTGTCGACTGTTCCCCAGCGCCATGAGTTGTAGCAAGCGTCCTTCGGCAATGGGTTCGTCATTGTGTGTTGGAGAGATATGGCATTTAACTTCGCTTTGCAATCTAGTCCATGAATCGTGGCCCAATACAGTAGTACGTACTCCTTCGTCCCCATGATCTTTCAAACCCACGACTAGGACGAATTCACGCCACTCGACATGACAAACGACGCTCGACACGTGATGTGGATTCATGATGCGATGAATAAGACAAATACTCGTCTAATCTCCCTATTAATAGCACTAATTTACCCATCGACATGTTATTAATACTATATCTTTGCGGCCAAACGACGTTATAGTATTATTGTTGGCAATAGTACCTCTATAACTGCATACGAATAAGACAAGTACTATTACTTCTCACAGTCACTTGTCACCTGTTTATTACTTCAACGCAACATGGTAACCTGCCTAACAGTATGTATATATTGAACCCAGCCGACGTTCAAGTGTCGTTGATTATACCGTCCTCTATCGTATACGAAATCGCATTTTAACGTACGAGATGATACTACTGAATGAGTGTCCGGGTGGTCGTAGTGATGCAAGGTCCCGCTTACAGCACTTCGCTACAGAGAACGGTCAGCATACGTTTCCACATACACATAATCATGAACAAGGCAGACAGACGTACTAAGCCGGGCCTCCGCCGCCTTCGGGCACGGTCCAGTTGATGTATTCTTGGGGCATTTTGATCGAGCAGCACTTGCAATGCACGCAGTTTTGCGCGTTGATGACCAATTGGGGCACTCCATTCGCCCCTACACATCGACTCGTGTCAACCACAGTTTGTTGCATCCCGTGAATCAAGATGGCCGTACCAGCTTCGCTGCCATCCGTGTACTCGTACACTTTGGCAGGGCAGAACCGCTGCTCGGGGCCGGCAAACACTGGAAAAGATTCCGTCGACGGCACGCCTTCCTTGCCAGCCTTGATGCGCAAATGTGACGGTTGGTCGGCGTGGTTGGTGCCGCTGCGTTGCAAGTTGGACAGCAAGTCGAACGTGAGCACACCATCCGGCTTGGGGTAATCGATGGGCATAAAGTCCTTGGCTGGTTTGGTTTTGGCCGAGTCGGGCTTGTCGTTGCCGAGCGTCCACGGCTCCAGGCCGTTGAGGATGAACGCGCTCAAGCCAGAGTACAACACGCCCGGAAGCGCGCCCCAGTGGAACGACTGGTGAGTGTTGCGCACCTTCTTGAGCTCTTCGTACACCCACGAGTCTTGAATCGCCGTTTCGTAGCTACAATATATATATATATATATATATATGTCAAACCAAACACGACTTGCTAGGCAGGCAGTCACCTTGAGATATCGACCACCGGCTCGGCTTGGTCAATCACACTCGACACTGCCACGGCCTCCAACCCCGTCGACGTCAGCGCCGCGTACGCGGCTTCGGCCGCCAACATGCCCGACTTCATGACCGTGTGTGAGCCCTTGATCTTGATGCTGTTGAGGAAACCCGCCGAGCATCCAATGAGCGCGCCACCGGGAAACGTGAGCTTTGGAATGGCATGGTACCCGCCCTAGATCAATCGATTGGTTCAGGATTGTTTGGTTCCAACACTTGAGTACACTGACGACGTACTTCGTTCAACACGCGCGCTCCATACGCAATGCATTCGCCGCCTTCCAAATGGCTGCGCACGGCAGGATGTGTTTTAAATCGCTGGAATTCCTCGTACCTAAGACAGTGCCGTTAACGTCGTTTTTGATTTCCCTCGTGTCCAAACTCACGGGTTCAAGTACGGATTTTCGTAATCCAAGCCCACAACAAGGCCAATTTGCACCAAGTCGTCGTCCATGTGGTACAGAAACGACCCGCCAAACGTCTTGTCCAGCAGCGACGACTGCAGCGGCCACCCCAATGTGTGCTGCACCAACCTACCTGGACCATCACTCTCTTGTTTCAAGAACGGAGGTACCCTGGAGAATGTTTGTCTTTCGGGATGCGCCACACTTCCTTGATGCCGAGACCGTACGTTTGAGGCTGCACATGTTGACGCAAGTTGAATTTCCCCATCACTTCTTCGCTGCACGACCCGCGGCAGCCCTCGCCAAACAACGTCACGCGGGCCCGTAGCTCCATGCCGCGGGCAAACGTTTCCTTTGGAGTACCATCCTTGTTGATCCCGACATCGCGCGTAGCAATTCCGCGCACGCCGCCGTCCTCGCGATACAACACCTCGGACGCTGAAAAGCCAGGGTAGATTTCCACACCCAATTCTTCGGCTTGGGCACCCAACCACCGCGTCAACTTGCCCAAACTGATGACATAATTGCCGTGGTTGTGCTAGATGCATGTATATAAGTCGCATGACACTCTAATGTACTGCACCTGTTGAGGAGGCAGCAAGAAATTCGGAAGCTTCCACGATCCATCCTTGGAAATGATGAGGAACCGATCGTCGGACACGGGGGTGTCGAGTGGCGCGCCTTTCTCCTTCCAGTCCGGGATCAATTCGTTCAATGCGCGCGGTTCAAACACGTTTCCTACACCATCGACGATACTAACTTGTCTCGTTCATGTTCGTCTTCGAGCATGTACCTGAGACTATGTGCGATCCAACTTCAGCGCCTTTTTCCACCACGCACACGGAAAGGTCCGTGCCTTTTTCAAGGCCAAGCTGCTTGATGCGAATCGCCGCTGACAAACTCGCTGGCCCGGCGCCGACAAGCAGCACGTCGTAGTCCATGCCTTCCCGAGGAGCGGAGAAGACATCGTCGCTGAAGTACCGCGATCGAACGATGCTTTGGAGCGCAGTTCGTCCGAGGAGCTTGGAGGAACCCGTGGCGGCGGCGCGGCGCAACAACATGGCTGTGCAATCGAAGATTTGAAAAACTGAAGTGGATATCCCGTCAACAGTTTCGTGTGGCGTGGGAGTGGGAGGTATCGAAGTTCGAAGATAGCATCGCTTGAAGATAGCAGAGCTTGAAGTTGGAAACCGTACTTCGAAGCAACAATTTCACTTGATGTTTCTATGCGTTGAGTACAGCTTCCAACTTAGATGAAAACTCAACTTCAATAGATGATCAGATAAATACTGTATCTATAATACTAGTATCAGTTATTACTGGTACAGTATGTACAATACGGTACTGCATTAGTATGAACAACGGTGCTACAGTACAACTGTACATATTTGTCGTTGACCTGCACCATGATATATACTAGTATAACGTTATCGTGAATATAATTATATTGCTCAACGTTACTTACTACTACGAGTACTACTGTATAAAAATGGAATAGTTAAATATATTGTTCAAATTTACAGTGTTAATTTCATTGGTGCATAGGTACGATAAATACCGGTACGTAGTCCTTTTTGGTATCGTGAGTTTCGTAAAACAAATCGCAGAAAAAGAGGTAAAAAAGTACTACTACGTACACGCCGCCGAATCACGAATCGACGCTATTGGGTAATCCAATTTTGAGTGGATTTGATTGGCTCTTACAGAAAGGACAACTCCACAATATTGAGTAAACAAACCACGCGAATTTTGGAAGTTTATAGCGAATTCACACTACTAGTACTTGGAATCACTTTTTCTAAAAATATCTACTTGGAACAGGCCCTTATGATTAATATTAGTTGATTGTTATCACGTAACATATGATATTACGATTATTTGAGGGTAAACTCGATCGGCCCCATGGCTACAATCTGCTTGAGCGCGTGTTCCATCAACTCTCGCGACGGGTACATGGGCAAGTCAATGCGGTTGAAGCACGAGTGGGCCAATGGGAGGCCGCCACGTACGTACGGAATCGCCTTGATCGAAAACGGGCACAGTACACCGTCGCTGCCCGTGAGGCCTTTGAAACCTGCATATACATAATATTCCTATCACAACGGATATTCAATCTTGACGATACATACATACATACCTTGAACAGGCACTCGAGTCGACCCCGTCGCGAATTGCAGGATCTTGGCTCGATCAGGCGACGCCATATTCTCCAATATATCCCAAAACCAGTACATTTTCATGCTGTGGTACTCAAAATCACGAAGTACGCTCGACGTGGCAGTAAACTGCTTCCAGTCTGCTACGTCGATCTCGGTCACGCCACACAATACCAGCTCGAGCTCTTTATGGTCAAACATGATCAAATAATGCTGCGGCAGGATCTACATAATCATTCCGAATTGTGCTGTTCAGTCATATTTGCCTACTACGTACATTTTAGGGGATTGATGAAATCGCCAACTAATCGAGAAAAGGAGTATGATTGGCTACAAAGAATGAAGGTTGCAATTTGATTGGCTAAAAAGATTGATTGATGCATTGAAGTCTTACAAAGATACCTCGTCAACTGAGTTTTATATGAAATGTCAAAGGTCCGGCGATTGTGAGGAAATTTACACACAATAATAAAACAATGAAACAAACCATTCAAATCACTTGGAATCCTCCCCACATTATTCATTCATAAGCTAATGAATATAAACTAAAACCACGTGAATAAGATAAATCATCATGTGTACCTCAAACAGCCCCGTGAGCAAACTCTGGAGCTGCAGTTGGATGCGATCGAACAAGAGGTACTGGAGCATACGCTGCACGTATTCCGCCTGGTTGGCGGCCGTGACCATGATATTCTGGCCATGCGGAACCAACTCGACGACATTTCCGCCTTCCACTGTCACGCTAAAGTCGAGGCACAGCCCGTCCACGTCCAATGTCGACTGGACGAACTTGAGACTCGTGTACATCTGCTTGTCCATGTACAGCATGTCAGTCATAGACAGCGGCGTGCCCAGGATCATCTTGAACAGCGGCACCGTCAAGTGGAACGGCAGCACCTGCTCGTCCAAGATGGATCGCGCCAGCAGCCGACCCACGGCGCGGAACTTTTCCAAATCCGACCGACATGTCGACGACGGGTTGAGCGTGTACCCGTACGAGTCGGTGGCCACAAATAGCCCCGCCGACGGCTCAAATACAGCCTGCGTGAACAACGTGTACCTACCCACCGTTCTTTTACCAATATTTGTATTTGGAAGAAATGATAATATTACCATTCTCGCTGCAACCCACCGGCATCGATGCCCGCTTCCCCGAGCAACTCGATGCGTGTTCGAGCACAAAGGTGTTGTGGGCCTAGAATCATCAGCAGTCCCATCGACTCTTGAAAAATGCGCTCGCGGTACACCTTGAGCTTTGCATACCTGTGTAAAACGATAATTAGAGTATAATATTGTCAAGTCGATATATTCGAAATTGGAGTGTTTGGGTGGTCAATCGAATGAGCAGAATTACCACAATCGGCACACAATCGAAGATCGACCAATCAAAACCCACAACACGAATCAAGTGGTCAATCAAATACACTCTTCCACCATTTGAACATCGAATTAGTATATGACTTGAATTAGTGTGCATATCGATAGATGTGGTGAATCAGCACAAAACTCCAAAGTTTGGACAATATATAGTTGGGATGAGGCTAACGGTACCCATAGTCCATGTTGGCTCGCAACAGTGACAACAATGCCAAGTACTTGACGGAAAACGACTCGTTGGTGAGGTCGTCCAGCTGACGAACCAGCCACGGCGACAGTGTCGTGGCCACCAGAGTACGCTGGGCACTGGTCATTGTCAGCGGTTCAAACGACAGCTCCACCCGCACTTGCTGGTCCGGACTACTCGACGGGACCTGCGCCGCCGCCTCTAACGACATCCGGCTAGCCAACAATGGCTCGAGCCCGTCGGTGGGTTTGGTCGATGGGGTAGATGGAGGGGGTTCATCGTCCACTACCACGTGAATGATCTGGTCGCCGACGTCCGCATAAATATTCGCCTCAGGCACCGTCGGCAGGGTCGATGTCACGATGAAGTACGTGTCGTCGCTTTTTGATTGGTTGGGGCCAAAAGGTTGGGTGAGTTGGGACCACACGATCTGCCCGCTGGCATCGTCGACAGTGCGTAGCCACTGCTTTCGCATCCTGTGGTGGCCATAACAACAGATGTATATACATACTAGAAGGAACGCCTTGTAGTACCTTGCGCTATGTTGGAGGGGCGTGAGGTCGTTTGGATGCAGGTACGCGGCGCCGACGGCCTCGTCCGACACGACCATCCCTAGGAAACAAACCAACGCTACACCCATCGTTTGTGGAGGGTCGTTAGAACGTACCAGGCTTTGTTTCGCACAACGCGCAGGCTTGGGCTTCGGCGATGTTGGCGAAGGAACACACGCCGCACTTCCACTTGTGTACTTGGGACATCCTACGCCGTAGCCACATGCATGACAAAGACACCACGCAGTCAGTTGTCTCTCGTACAATTCTTCAATGTCGTTGCGGTTCAGGCCGTAAAGGCCGCCGAGGAAGCTACGAAACCCAATTCAGTGCTGACAACGAACTTGCGTTCGTACTCCTCTTGCACGAGTGGGACGCGGCCGAAGAAGTTAGGGTCCACATGACTGCCGTTTTGCGCCATGATAATTCGTATGAAGGCGTATCCGATGCCCATGAATAGTAGGAGCATCGCCGCCCCTATGATCGCCGCATTGCTCGATTCAAACATCGCAGTGTCAGTGAGCAACCTGGCGAGTTATGCAAACATCTGGTCGACCACGTGGAAAAGTCCCTTAATACAGTAGTGTACCATTAGTATACCAGAATGCTACTACTTACTACGTAGTATTAATAGTAGTACATTCGTCGACAAGAGCCGTAGTAAACAAAACCAGTCTATTTCAGCGCTGATGTCGAAGCGCGTTGTGCTATCCCATGTGTCGACTGCAGAAATAGGTGGGGAATAGTTCTGTCGTCACTCTTGCAGAAGTAAGGCTCAGTATTGATTTAAGGATATAACCTGATGACGCTCTTGAGACGGTTCATTCATTTCCTTTGGTTAATGCACTGCGCAGCTAGCTCGCAGAGATGTTACCTGCAGTTTGGGGATGCAAAGCCGACGTTATTGGACGTTCCTGCTATGAAACTACGAGTTTATGATTCTCAACTTGGCAACCCGAAGTAGTCCCGTGAAGTCCATGCGACGGCTTGAAATCCACGCTTTTGATTGGTTCTTGATTACTCACCACTTCTCGCTTTTAAAGAAGCGAGAAGTTCTCATTTATCAGAACGAGGAAAAAACAAAATGGCTGACGAACACAGTATGAAACCTAACGTTATGGGAGAGTTAATACTGGTAGGATTTACGCTATTAATAGTAAGCTAGCTATACCAGCCCCACGAGATTAATTGTCTGTCCGAAGCCTCAATAATGTCACATAGTTTAATCAAGATGAAAATCTGAGGTCAAGATAATATTGCATAGTTAACATAGTTTAATCAAGATGAAAATCTAGGTCAAGATAATATTGCATAGTTAACTGTAAATCAAGATGAAAATAGAGGTCAATATAATCCCGCATACTTTAATCAATATCATATATTCGTCAAAAACTGAACGGTCAAAATATACCTTTGAGGGTCAACTCAAAGGTGTGAATTATCTGTTAACAGGATTTTCTCAGTGCAACACTAATTCAATTATCTGAACCAAACGCGAATGTCTATCACACCGGTAGGTACTCTCTGGCAGGTACTATACCCCTCAACACGAATGCGTTAGACGATCAATATTTTACCGAAAGCCGCGGCTGCAGGGAAATTTTTCGCAATTTTTATTTGATTAACGTAAATGACCAATTAATTGTGCACGGACCAATTGTTTGTGCACTCAAACCAACCAATCCGCAAGCAAGTATTCATCGCGGCAAAACCTCTCAAATACAATACCTCACTTGTCATTTGGCGCCAACATGGCACGTCCACGGTTCCGGTACAAACCTAAGGACTTGGACGATGCTGTTCGTCAAGTTCTTGGTGGTGCAAGTGGGAAACAAGTGTCTAAAACTACACACATTCCCTACAATACCCTTATGCTGCATGTTCGAGCGGAGAAGGCAGGAAAAGACCGTGCACGCCAGCGTCCAGGTCCAAAACCTGCACTGCCGACGAGCTGTGAAGACGACCTGGTGGCTTGGATCGCTGCCATGCAAGGAGATGGATACCCTCTGGATCGTCAAGCAATCATGATCAAGGCATCTCAGCTTGTGAGGAAAATTGACCCCTTCCACCAAAGACTCTCAAGTGGTTGGCTCAAGCGGTTTCGCCAACGCCACCCCATCTTGACCCGGCGAATGGCTCAAGTAATCAGCCACGCAAGAAACGCTGTTGATCCTGCTGGCGTTGAGCGCCTGCACAAGACTCTGGCCGAGACCATATCCAAGAATGGCATCACAGCCGAACGAATTTTCAACATGGACGAGACTGCGTTTACGTCACGCAAAAAGGGGAGTTCTGTGATTGCGCTGAAAGGATCTCAAAATGTGTGGGCTAAAGCAGTTTCTCCAAATTTTCACTTGTCAATTGTTGCATGTGCAAGTGCTTCTGGAAATATTTTGCCTCCATTATTTCTGTTTCCTGGTGACACAGTTGAGAAAATATTGAGTGCCGAGTGTTCTGTGAAAAATGCAACAATTTCTACTTCTCCAAAGGGTTTCATGAATGAAGACATTTTTACCGAATGGCTTAAACATTTTTCAAAAACAATTACTGTATCTCGCCCCGTGTTGTTGATTTTCGATGGCCTTGCATCCCATTATTCAAC